TACTTTGCGTGCCTGATTAAACGTTTCCTCGCTTCGATCCACCTGTACTCTCTGAATTCGGCTGGAAACGAGAATTGCGTGGATGAAAAATGGCTCTGGCTCAACTTATGAGGACACCAGCCTCAAAGTTGGCCATAGAGAAATGCTCGCAGCACTCGGACTGCGGCTCATAGATGACGCAAAAGGCTAGAAACGTTCTCCAGTACGGCTAAGGCTCGCACACAACTACACACATATCATCCACTTATAACGGTTCCAAAAATGTTTTTTCACTCTATTGTCTTTATGAACGTGTTTGACACTACCAATTTTACTGTTGGTGGTGGTGTTAAATGTATGGTTATATATATAAGCGTTTTAGAAGCCCCTTTAAATTCTAGTTGTTCCAAACTACCCGCAGACGCTACGTTACATTAATGCTTGTTTTGATGCAGGCACGAAGGGGGGGAAACTTGATTTGGAAAAATCATTACTACCCCAATTGCCACTAAACAACGTTCACTGGCCCGTGTGTCTGCTGTGTAACTTTCGCGACTAAGCTTCCCAAACCACAGAAAGGTGTGCAGTGTTCACGGATTACGCTTGATCGACAGCTGGCAAAATCTGTCTGACGTGGAAGACAAACTTTGCTCCATTACGTCTCAACTCGAAAGTAGCTAAACAACTACCGAGATTAGTAGTCATGCAGTCCCTTGGGAAAAAGGGTGGCTGAACCCGTAGCTCGGTAGGATCACATTGACGGGCCCTACACACAAACGAGCAGCACTTAATTCCCCAATTGGGCAAAAAATTGCCATATTTGCATTACGAGTGAGAAGTAACTTAATTTTATCTCTCGTGTAAAAGACAGTAACAACGTGATGAGACGACTATTTCAACTGCAGTGCGGCAACAGCGAGTTCCTCATTTTAAAATGAGGTACGCAGCGGATACTGCTTGTAAATGAGCCATGCCGGCATTATTTCTTTTAGTATAGCAAATTAATTCTCCTCTTCCTACGCAAAGAGTCCTTTGAGCACTAATTCTATTGAATTCGTATGATGTTGAGTGTATTCAGTGCCGGCTGTATCATTATATTCATATATATATATATATATATTGTCAACGCAAATACAGTGGAACGCAACGGCGAGACATGAGGCTTAGTCTTTGATCTGTCTTTGTTTCTGTCGACATCACGTTCTGATTTAATTGCTTAACCAAAACTCGAATTATGTATGTATCCCATCGTGTTCGCTGGAGAGAAGCTACAGTTTCTGATCATTGTTGGTTTCTGCTAGAACATTTAGGCTGTTTGTAACACTTTGATGCTAATCTTATTGGAAGCTGGAACAAGTGGAGACAAAGTTTACCGTTCCGACATGGTTGGCCCAAACGGAATCGAAAGGTTGCTGGTTTGCTGTGACCGGACGGAAGCTAACCTCATTTGTATTGGCATGGCAAGTGTCGGTATGTGATTTCGCATGTATAATTTGCATTTTACCTAACGAGTTCTATCGTCTCCACTGTGGTAGCTTGTTGCAGTTTGTTGTCTATACTTATAAACACTTCAGTCTAAGCTACTCAGGCTTTATTCCATTACGCTACTAAGGGTGCGCAACAAGTGAGTCCTGTTCTGTGTTTTTGCATTCAATTTATGGTAACTTGGTTTAATGGAAAGGCTGAATCAAAAACGCTGAACTTTCACTACATAGGAAAATAATTGACCTTGGCGGAGAATCAGAAATGCGCATATGTGCACTGTGGAAAGTCGCTCAAACGCCAGTAGGTAATTGGGGAATGGAAAAAGAAAGACTTGTCCATTCATCTTTCAATCGTTGCGCCCACAATATAATTTGCCATTCATTGTACCCTTTGAGACATTCAAATTTCGTTCTTCTATGAGTCTCCTACATATAGTTTTTAGTTAGTTTAGTAGATGTAGTTAAGTTAGTTTAAGTGTGACTCAATGCTGCTGTAGGTCACTCTAATTATGACACTTTCAAGTATCACCTGGTTCTCGCTACATTTGACTGACTGACTCAAGTGGGTCGTCTATGGTTTCTCCTCCCATACTGTTCGATGTATCCTTAGTCACAGGCACCGTATTAGACAGTCTGGTGGTCAAGATGGAGTTTAGTGGACTAGCATCGGGAAAGAAGGGCAAAGTAATGCACCATAGTCTTTTTCGCTGCCAAACATACGCCTCACTGGAGGATTCTAACGAGACGTGTGAATAATTTGGCTTCGTCTGACAGGAAGAAAAACTAATATTATTGATTTAGTAATTTACACATTGTTAACTGGTAATGGTAAAAGGAATTAGAAAGAAACTACTCTTAGCTGGCATATAAACTTCACTTCCGTGACGCAGGTTAGCACAACTGATTGTCGTTAAAAGGCATGGTTGGAAAACTATTCCTCTTGATAAAAGCATGTCACAGTCCGGAATTTTCTGTTCGGATTTCGAAGATCGTTTAGTAGCATCGTCCGGCTTTGGTAGTGATGGATCAATAGGTATTGTGTGACGTAACCAATTATTCCAAGTGATCATTTTCAGTGTTAGACGTGCAAAAGATGCAACCGTTTTATGAGAGCTGCTCGACTTTCCTGGAATATTTTCCTCCACGTAAGGAGCTTAGTGAAGATGACTGCTGTATTATTAAGGCACTCTAGTACATCACATTTCTACCCCCGACAGGTGTAGCAACCTAGCTTCCACAGTTTGTTTCAACTGTTTTCAAATTACGAGGCCCAGTATTCCATGAAAGCTGCAACAAATAATTATGCATACAAATGATTTCTTCACGAGCAAATACGTTGTGCTGGCACCCAACTGAGACCCCAATCAAATTCATCCACATTTGGGTACATTGAAGACTAAATGTTTAAGACGATTGATAACGTCACGTTTTGCGGAAAACTCATTTTGTTCGATGGATACGGAAAATGCAGCTTTGTACCAATTTTGGAGATGGTTACGCCTAATGGGCGAATTCGTTAAGGTCAAGGTTCGCTCTGAGTGCTTTAAAGGTGCGGCGTAGCTTTAATGAGTTTCACCGACAACCTCGGAGTCATACTGATTGTATAGTTAGTGTGTCTGGAATAGCAGCCAGTAATTAGAGGTAGAGATTGAAAATTTTAGTATAGCTGAGAAATTATTGCTATAAACCGGTATTTTCCCTTCTGAGTTCCTAATATCACTCCCCAAGGTAATAGGCAATGAATCGATTGCGCTCGTTTTTCGTACATATGTATAAGCCATGGACGAAAATTAATTTTGGATGATATTGATTTCACGACGAAATTCACTCCGCTTTTCTGTTTGTAGATATGTCTGTACCGCTCCACAGACAGAGCCTGCGGGTTTCCCATAAAACTGTGATAGAACACTCCAACATGCAATAGTAATAAAATCCCAAATCCAAAAATATTGCCTACACTAATCAGGTGCCAATCTACATGATTGGTCCCAATTGAATCTGAAGAAATATGCCTTAGTAGGATTTAGCCAAATAGTGCAACATGCACTTCACTGGAATCCTGTGTTTTGCTATTTACGTTTCAATCTATATATTTAAACATAGATTTTGTTATCGTGTCATAGTGCAGAGGATAAAAGGTGTATGTCAGTAGCTAAGATAAACAAACTTTCCACTTATAGGCACTAACCCAATGGCACAATAAATCTATCCCATTATTACTTCAATAATTTAAAGTAATGTTCCTCTTAGGCTATAGTACTTGTGCAAAAGTAGCGATATATATATATATATATATATATATATATATATATATATATAACGGAGCTCACGCCTTTCCTGATCGGTAACAAGGTAAAAGCAGCCATGCCATTTTGATTCCTATGCGAATTTCGACTCTGCTCAAGGGTTGGAAGATCAAACACTATCAGCGAGTGATAAACACAACCTACTTGCGCGTTATTAATTCTCCTGTTGTTTGATTAAATAATTATAACTTGAATTACTCTAAAGCTCATTGGCCAATTATTCTATTCTGGCCCACTTTGGATGGTTCACATAAAACCGGGACAACCTAATTCTCTCATGCAATCATATTGGAGCGCAATTGCAAATGGACGTAAGGTGTTGTCTCCTAGTTTGATCATATCAATTCAGTACTCTTGTGAAGCGACAAACCACGTAGCCAATGACACTCCATTTAGTTTTAACAAACATGAGTTGCCCGTTGTTACCTGACCCATATCAATTCCTTTCACGTTCTGCACAAATCAGGGAACTGACTTACATCAGTAGATGAATCTGTGTATATGCAGCAGACTTATTTCTCTCATGTGACGCATTGATAGTGAAATCAAGTCAGACAGGATTCATCTAATGAGTCTCATACTGATCAGCGTCAATTGCTTTAGGAAAAAATCAGCGCTTGTAAGTCCTTTGAAAAAGTGAATATCAATGTTAATTGCTGATCGTTGTTCACTAACAAATAACTCAGGTGGAAGCAGTGGATATAAACCAGCTGTCATGCTCAAGTGGTTGTTTTAACTAAGAAGGACACAGTGTCTAACAATACTTTTAACCTCAAAGCGGAATATCTGCCACTCCTAGAGGCGGTATATTTTCCTCTGTGGTTTCCCTTGATACCAGGTTTCGCACTGCAAAGCAATATGCTGTTTTTCTGGAATCTGGGAAGCAACTGAGATATTTCTGGCCGAGAAGGTTAACCGGATTATCTGGCTGCGAATAAAGGTTAAGCCCATCCTATTGTACCATAATATCAACATTATAGTTCGATCCGCAGATGTACTTTTACTCTTATGCTTTCCTCGCCTAATAATTGTCGCACTTTGCTCGGGTTGCCTTAAAATACGCACACAAATTTTTGGATGAGTAAGTTGCGTAGTCGAGCCATCGACGACTACTTGTATTCATGCGAAATGACTTTAGGTGGAGGAAGTTTGCTCTAATGCCTATCTTCATTGGATTACTGAGGACCAAACATTTTCTAGGTTAGCACAAAACAAAGTAACACCAACTCACATGAGCGATCCGGTTGCCCACAGCTGTTTCAGCTGACAAATTCACCAGTCGCTGTCGAGGTTTGGGAAATTCCCATTCAGGTGCGTGGTCATTGACATCGAGAACGCGAATCACCAATTGCGCGGAACCGGTCAAAGCCGGATGACCGCCATCACGAGCAAACACATCCATCACAATAAGTTCATCTTGCTCCCTATCCAACGGGGTTAGAATACCGGAATATTTTTGCCCAGACGATTGTGATATGGTGGGTGGCGTGCGCAAGTACAGTTCGCCGACTCTAGAGACTGAAAACCAAGCAGTATAATATGTACTGGTAGGTAAAGATTGGACGCTTGTAGATTTGGAGGTCAGCTCACCCATAGGTTGTATGTTTTGTTGAAGCCAATATTCCACAGCTCTATTGGTTTCATCCACATCACAATCTGTGACATTGAATTTTCCTATTCGTATCGGAGGGCGAGTATTTTCACTTAAACTAAATTCGTAAAGTGGTTGATGAAACTTCGGAACACAATCGTTCACATCGGTTAGCTCGATCGCGATGGTGATATTTACACGATTCACAGATGTCACGGCTCTTGATTCTTCCGCGGCTAAGGTTGTCCAGTTAGCATCTCCACCGTCTCTTATTTCAATCGCCACTATGAGTGCTTTTGTGAGTTCACGATCAAAACTGACCAGGGACTTCAACTCACCCGTGACCCGGTTTATCTGGAACCAGGGCTTAGGGGGCAAAGCATTCTCTTCTTCAGCATCTGAACTCTCTTTAGAATTAGGCGTCTCATCGATGAAGGCAAATGTTTCCGGTTTGACTATTACGTCAGGCAGTAATCTATAGCGCAAACCAGCGTTTCCAGCAGCCGAGTGCGGATCATCCGCATCAAGTACTTTTAGATGGAGAACAACAGTTTCGGCATAGGCATTTTCAGGGAGCCTAGTGCTGTGCGGACCGACAAAAACAGGAGGAGAGTCGTTTTCATCTTCTACTAAAATTCGCAGTAGCGCAGTGGACGAATGAACTTTTTGGGTTTTAAATCCATTGATTTGGTCTTGGTAGACCACGGAAAAGTTAGAGACATGCTCGGACGTGTGCGGATGATCATGGCAAAGAACTTGTACAAATATTCTACTCTGCTTTTCTCGGTCCAAAGGTTCACCAGCAAGACTTATCTGGAACCGTAATTTATCCGTGAATGCACCCATGCTATCCAACTCGAGAGGCTCAATTTTGAATTGGAAGTTATTTAACGAGCATTGCGGATGATTGGGATGGACCTGTGCCATTGAGTTACCATTCGCATCCGCTTTTAATGCGAAATCAATGCTTCGCGCCAGGGCCGCCGTCTGTCTTTCCGCCAGTAAATCTTTGTCGGTCACTGTGACCGTGGCTAAAAGTTGTTCCGGTGGGCCGTTCTCGCGTACCAGGATTGTGAGCTGAGTTGAGACAAAGGTAGACCGATCTGCGTGATAAACCCCAAAATTATGTTGTGCGCTTGCTAAATGGGAATGAAGCTGTATTTCTGGGGGGTGGTCGTTTAAGTTGGTGACGAAAACATCCAACTCCATCTCATCGGTCCACTTTCCATCAGACACGAATATAAACAATCGGTGCAATTGTGTTTGTTCATAATCAATCGGGGCTTTTACAGAAATTTCCCCACGTTTTTGGTCGACATGAAACAGTTGTCGAGACTCAACCAGGGTGGATGGGAGGAAACCGTAGGTGAGGCGACCTTGGTCGGATGGATCGGCATCCCGTGCATTGGACCAGAAAATTCTAGTTCCCAAATCAACATGTTCCTCTACCCAAATAAAATCCCGAGTTTTCGGCCACTTTGGTGGGTGGTCATTGACGTCGGTTATCGTAATGTTCACTAGTAGATATCCGGTCATGGGATTGGGAACCCCAGCGTCTGAGGCTCGAAGAACTACATGATGCTCCGTCGGATCGCCATGAACAAAATCCTTGTTTACGACCAACCACAAGCCGGAGTTTCTTTTCGACGGATCATCACCAAGTTGCTGTGTGTGTTTCCAATCTAAACCGAAGGCACCTTCCACCGTCTGGTTTTCAATTTCATAAGAAGAGGTGGTATTCTCAGGATGGGCATCCGGATCCACTGCCAGAGGAACAGCAATACTTGTACCAATTGACGTGTGTTCCGGTATAGTAAAATCAATCTTTGGAATGTGACCACCGGAAGGGGGAAAGTACTGACGAATTTTGGCAGTCTCATTGAGCAGATGTACGTTCACTGAGCTGGAGGAATGAGTTCGCCAGCTTGGTACATTATCGTTCACATCTAGTATTTTGATAGTCAACTGAACCAGTGCTTGTTTCAGATCGATCTGATTATTTTCCCTATACGGAATGTCCACTAGAAGGACTAGCGTCAATTTGCAAACCTCGGGTTCACTGGATTTCACAAAATGTATTCCGAGTAATGGACGTGTGTTTGACTCTCTCAGAAACTGACAACACACTCCGTCTGGGGAGCACTCGGCTTCCCGGTCCACACGAGAGTTAACCCGTAAATAATGCTTACTCGGTGGGACCGAGTGAATGTAGAATGACGGATTAGGTTCAAAAAACTTGAACCGCAAATACTCGCCTGCTGATTGATCATGTGTCAGCTGGATGTCCGGAATGTTTTGTAGCACAAGCGTGTCAAGCTCAGCCACAGTTGTGCCACGTGATAATTCCTCCGGCATTTCTAAAGTAAACTGGAAGGTAAGTCGTTCGCCACTTGCCGGAAACATGGTCGCCAAAGTAATGAAGACACCGTTGGAAATGATTCGGCTGCAATGTGCCCGAAGTTGATCACACAACAGCATTATACACCGACAAGTAAATCACGATGACTGGTACAGATAAGCAGAAAATGCCTCATCCTTTGAGAGCGCGTTGTGGTAAAGTCTATGAAGTGCTACATTTTCGGTAATCATGGCAGGTTTGCAGTTTTCACATATTTGCACCAAATGAGCAGGTATACTGTCGTGGCAAATGCAGGTTTTAGATGATAAAAGGGGAACAATTAAGTGAATTTTGATTGGTCACATGAGTACGCCAATCAACGCATCAACCTTCCCATTGGAAGGAACAAAACGCAGCTCATCTTCTCTCATGTTGAGGAATTATTGTTAGTTTGAAATAACTATTAGTGTCCAGTCTGATGAATGTACATTAATAATGCAACAGAGTAAAGACCGATGACCGAGTACAAGCAGTTAGTCCAACGCGACTAGTGGACAATAACAAAACGCGTCTCGTGTTCGCGTATATTTTTAAAGTGCTTTAACTGGAAAAATTGCGCAGCAGCTAACCAGGAGATCGAAATGCGCAAATAAAGTCAAGTAGCTGCTAGATAAATGACAACCGATGGATAACGAAAGGAGTTAACTTCAGTGACACCAGAGGTTGAATGTAGACCAGGACCAACCGCAAACTGCGCCAACCGCGCTGCCTGGAAATCACGTGTTTATACTAACGGTGGGAAGCGTGTCCCGCACTTAGTACCAAAGTGGTGAGAAAAGATTTACTGTATTAGTTTAAACTATAATTTGTATGGAAGTGCCAATTTTGTCAAAATCTTGTCAAGTTCTCTTCCAATGGATGGACGGATGTGAGCATCAGAGTAGCTGAATAAAACACTAATAAAAATTATTGCACGAACCAGACACGGTGACGTTATGTAATACTGATAATACACTCGAATATCAGGCTAAATTTGGAATCAGCTGACTGAGCAAAAGTCTGGCTACTTTGCAAAAAAGTAACGGACCACCAACCGGTGTAATACACTTGAAACTTGCATTGTTTCTTTCAGACATACTCAAAGCGCAAATAAAATTATGTGTTTTTAAAGGTAGTTAATATGATTCAAGTATTAGTTAAAACATAATTTATTCCCTTGAGTAGCGTAAATTCTTAGTTGAGACAAAATATCCTCCACAGAGTTTTCCATTGGTAATAATACCTATACAGTGAGAATTAGGCATGCATTTCTAAAGAAAGTTTTAGAAGGGAAGACAGTCTTTGATGGAATAATGAGAAACCTAACTATGGTAAAAGTCTGCTCTCGTAGCGCATGCATGCCCAAACAGTTCACTCTAATGTCTGACAAGAATAGCCTCATAAACGCGCAAGATCACACAAAACAATTAAATGTACAGTTTTTTAAATTCGATGTTTGGTTGCGATTTAGCAGCAACTTGTTGGTTATGTGTCTCTGGGCACGATCAATTCTCCCATACGTTACATCGCACCGGAAGTTGCAGGAATATTTTATATACTACGGTAAATGAGAATGAGTCCATTCCATCATAGATGGTACTGCCCGTCTCGTAACAAAAACCGACCTTCAGAACGGCGACGTTGTTCACACGCATATGTTGTCAACTACCGTGTAACTAAGCACAGTATATATGGGACTAAACATGAAGAATCTCATCTGTGTAATGATACAGTTCTGGGTCAGGAAGGGTAAGATATGGAGCCCCCTTATGTCGCTTCCTTCGGCTGCCAAAATTTCAGGCATACTGAGGCGTAGGGGATAAGCTTGGACAGTAAAATATAGGTGATTGAATTTCTCACTGTTCGATCTAGAGGTCAAAATGTTGGTGGTTTGTTGTGATTTATAACACAAATGACACCGCCCGAATAGGAGTGCATGTCTAAAATATATCGGTTGAAAAAGCGCATTTTTGGTCTTAAATTGCATCTGAAAGGTAGATCCAAGTTCTGAATCTTCTCTAGGTATGTGTAAACCACTTACCTCTGGAAAAACACCGTGTATGAATGGCTAGGTGAAAGAATCCTAAATATTCCCAATCTGTTGCACTGTCACCGGCTACAGTTACTAAAAATTTAGATCTATGTTATGTTTAGTAAGTAAGAAATGAAGGTGGAGAATCTACATGATGTAATACGCCACTACATTGACACGATGTAAGTATCGACAGCACCATGTATTCATAGTCAGCGACTTTTGTTTTAAGCAGAGCTGAATACGGCACAATACACTGCTGCTTTTGGTCCATATTCATTGCGTGACTTAAATGGTGAGGTTTTGCCTCTGATTTGGCCTCTTATGCTCGATAGAGTATAGCATGTGAAAGTGGTCTTTGCTAGACACAAGCTGAGGGACACTGACCCCTCAGAAAATTGGAACGTATTTTGTGAATGATAAACATGACTGCAATTAGTAGTTTTAGCCATTTCATAACACTGTGTTTTAAGGTGTTCTTCAAAACATGGCTAGGAAACATTGGCATTCAACTCAGTGAACTGCGGTAAATGACCGCCAATGGTTTGCACTTGGTAACATTGATCGAATTAGTCAGTGATCACTTATAAATCATCTATTGATCACGCACCATTTATGGTGCGTGATCAACTCGTTCCGTGATTAGTTGCAAGTTCATTCTACTTACGATGCGTCGTAAAACAGAAACAAGCAACTTCTTATGCCATGTCCAAATTGAGTAGGATGAAACAATTGTTCACAAATTCTAAACTACCTGCATCGTCAAAGCATGAAACTCACACTATTTAGAAAAATGGGATGGTTTCGTACGTCTGGAGTTTGAAAATGAATGCAAATCTTTGCGATTGACAACGTATGGAAAACTTGCATGGTTAAACTCGGTGGATTCATCACCCTGAATACTGTGTGTCAAATGATGTACGCTTCCATGTAAAGTGAGTTCGTTCTACCTTCCAGTGTATCCTAGGCAACCATTACTCGATGATCCATGCCTCGCTCAACTAATGTGCGCCGAGTGCAAAGAGATAATATGAATCGGTAAGTTAAATCTTAAACTTGTACGTGCTTTGATGAGGCACCGAAGATTACCCCCACATGGAATTTCATGTGGACTCATCATCGTCATCATTATACACGTTAGCTAGAGGTTGGAAGCACTTTAGCTACTATGCCGCAATATATAAAGGAAAAGAATGGAAATAAATTAAGCTGATGCAAGCCAGCTGAGCTACCGGTAACGGATGGAAATCTTTCTGGCAAGCTACCAGTCAGATAATATACAGCAAATAATTTACTAAGCAAAATTATATAATACTGATGAGTAGCAGTGATGCTTTTGATACAATTCAGTCAATTCATCCTAGTCACTCCCAATCAGCAGGCTTAGGCTAGGATGGAAAAGCACCAGACGCCGGAGTGTCAAACTTCTTGGTCTCCTCATCGGTACGCCTCCCAGAGGACCAGTGCCGGGTTCCGCCCAGATGACTTCAGGATGCCAGCACATAGTGCCACTTCGCCATGGGTGACAGCCGCGGACCTGCGTGATTGACAGTTGACTACGATATAGCCCGGCTCATATTCCACTGCTATGCCAGTTAGGAACAGTGAAAATGACAATGGCTAGCCTCACGATCTAAGACCTTCCGCATAGCGCCTATGTAGCATATAGGACTTAGAAGCTATACTGACATATTTTATAGCACTGATGAGTAGTATAAGGCTGAGTAGTGAGACCATGGATGAAGGGGGAGGTTAAGAGGGGTGGCGTGCGACAAAGAAACTCATAGCAAGAACGCCACTGGGGTCGGCTCCTAGCCATATCAGCAAGTGTGTCCAACCAAACGTGTTCATCGTCTTTCGGATCCCAACCAGGGAGCAGTGAAGCTCCAACCGAGGCCAGCTCCGAAGTGAGGGCCTTCGTTCTTCTCGAGCAAGCCATCGTTTGGCCAACCCTCCTCTTCTTCCATCCACACCCCCGGTGAGCAAACAACGCAAGTTGCGGAAGTCGGTTGGCTGGCATGCGCAACACGTGGCCGAGCCATAGGAGCCTGGTGGGTGAAATAACGGGGCTGAGTGGCTCAGTTCCTTTTCCTGTGCATTAACAAGGCGTCGAACACGCTCCTTGCTCACGCGGTGTTCCCACCAGATGTGAGCTAAATTACGAAGGCACCGGTGGACGAACGTAACTAGCCTCTTCAGGTCCGTTGCTTTAAGAGGCCAGGTTTCACAATCGCACAGTAGCATCGAACTTACCGCTGCATTGTACACTACCATTCAGGGCGAGAGTGATGACGCGCCGCCGCCATAGGTGGCGAAGACTAGCAAAAGCACTTGGAGCTTTTGCTATACGGTTCGTGATCTCATCTTCAATCCCACGGGTGCTGATACAACTTCCCAGGTAGTTGAATATTTGAACGACTTCTATCTGCTCCCCACCAAGGGTCAGCGTAGGAGGCGGTCCAGGCCAATCTTGGAAGAACGCTTTGAACTCCGATAATTCAAAGCAAAGCCCGAAGCGGCTGACAGCCATTGCTAATCTGTCCAGTGCAGCGTGGCAAGTTTGTGAGCCGTCACAGATGAGGGCAATGTCGTTTGCAGATTACAGGTCAAGAAGTTGTTCTCCTGGGAGTAGCTCCACACCTTCTAAGTGGTGCCCTGTGAACGCGATTTTCATGACTTCGTCAATAGAGAAGTTGAACAGGGAAGGTGACAGTGACCGTCCTTGTTTCACACCGCAGGATATATTGAAGGATGACGCCAGCTGGCCGTAAGCCTTCACTCTACCTGAGCTACGCGCGTATAATGCTCGGAAAGTAAACCACCAACTCGACGCTATCTTTCCTGAGTTAACTTCGTCAGTGTGCTGCTGGGTCCAGCAGCGCAACTCCGAAGCTCGGCGAACAAGTGAACTCAGGAACGATCGACCCGAGCTACCAGTGCATCAAGTCATTTCGACGCTATCTATTTGAATATTTGATCCAAAAACACCAGGCATTGCTGGACAACACAACCTATGCGACAGCAAAAGGTGAAAGGAGTGCAGTCGGACCAATATCTTGTCTCTTACCG